ATGTCTTCCCTAGTCTGTCTATCCTAACGATATCCCTTCCCGCCTTTTCAACCCACCTCCTATGCCCCAGTACAGCTACCGTCCTCTCCTAGCTATCCCATGTCTAAAACATCTCCCTGTACTTTTCTCCTACTTTTCTCAGCTCAGCCATGTGCACTTCCCTCTCCTTGTACAGCCGACATTCCGATAAGACATGAACACGGTCTTCGCACTTCAAGCGGCTATCACATTTGGACTTGGCGTCTTCACCGTCTACCTTCCTATATATCTTCGTCTACGTTCTTGAAGGCCAATGCCCCCGGTCCTGAAATTAACCTTCAGCTTTGTTCCTGCATCCATTGGTCCATGAAAGTAATCCTTGAACCTTACTCCGTCGTTCAACATTCCGTACACTTCTATACCCTCCTTATCCATTCTGTTGTTCTCTCTCGGCAAAAGCAGCAGATATCTTCTCCTTGAACCCCTGTCGACCCTCCGTTTCCAGCGCATGGTCTTCGTCAATTTCGAACCCCTTCCATACGTCCTCTAACACCTTGACCCATTCCGTGGGTTGTCTACCCCTCTTTTTGTTTGCCCGCTTCGCCTCCCAGGCTAATCTCGGCAACCTCTCTTCTCCCATCGCGCACATGCGATACTGCCATGTCAGCTTCCTCGCGTCTCTTCCCGACCGTAGGGATTGGATCCCCAATTCTGCCCTGACGGCTGCATTACTTGTGCGCTTGGAGCATCCTAGGATGATTTTTGCTGCTTTCATCTGCGCCGCCTTGAGCTCTTTCACTACCTTCTTATTTCCTTCCCATACCTCTCCGGCGTACCCTAGCGGCGGTACGATTACGCTCTTCAAAACCTTCAATTTGTTGCGTGTATCGAGGTGCCGGTTTGCGAGTGCTTGGTGCAGCTTCCCTGCTCGTGCTTTGCCCTTTTCCGCTACCTTGGACANCCTCCCTGTACTCGTTGCATACCATGACGGTACTTTTCTTAACGTTGGCAGACAACCTGCACTTTTCAGCAACGCGTTCGCCGCATCGATTTCAATTGCATTCCCTCAGAAGTATCAGACACCCCAACAAAGTCATCCGCAAACAGCATTCCCGACACCGTGCTTTNAAGTAGTCTTTTGCGAACTCTACTCCGAGGTATGTGTACTGGTCCACTACTGCAATCTCCTCGATCCCCCCTCCTCCATCTAGGTTCTACTGGTTCCTCCCTGTACTCGTTGCATACCATGACGGTACTTTTCTTAACGTTGGCAGACAACCTGCACTTTTCAGCAACGCGTTCGCCGCATCGATTTCAATTGCATTCCCTCAGAAGTATCAGACACCCCAACAAAGTCATCCGCAAACAGCATTCCCGACACCGTGCTTTCCCCTGCCTCTACTCCCTTCTCGACTGCTTGTACGACTTTCAACAGATCGTTGATAAACACCTGGAACAACGTTGGGGACAGAGTGCAAACTTGTGGGACCCCGATTCAATGTTGAGGAATTTAGACAGTTCTCCGTCTAGCATGACCGCCTCTTTTCGTATACTCTGTCATCTTCTTCAGCACT